CTTTATGCCTGACATAACAAGTTTACGCTGAGTATTACCATTCATTATAGCAGTTATGTCAATCTTTTATGCACTCGTGGGATTAACTTAGTGCTAGGGGATTGAATATCGAACAATACGTCAATTTCAATGATTTTGGTTTTTTTTGAGACACCCTGTATATACTAATGATGCGTGAGGAATGCTTTGTCTTATACTTGGAAGAAGAATGTTTTGCCTTATTCTTGAAATTAGTTACTGTTTAACGCTTAAACAAGTTAAAATTGTCTTAAAGTGGAAAAACTCTTGACTCAAGTTAAATTCAAGAGAATATAAAATCTACATGCTGCGAAAGAAGTAGCTAAAAATATGCATGCTCCCAGCATGTCTTGTGCGCTTAGAGTTTAAGGTTTAAGGTATAGAGTTTAAAGTTTGTAATGGACAACCTTTTTCGAATTAGCTGGATAAAAACGACTCGCGCAAGGTCTAGAAGAACGCTTGGGCCTAGATAATTTGAAGGGGGTCGAATATTCATACATATTTTGTCCTGCATGATCAATTTCTGTTGAAATCGATTGTCTGGTAACACGAATATATTAAATTCGCCTTTTGAATTATCAATGATTGCTACGCCACTGGTTACTTAATAATGAATGATTAAAATTTAGTTCTGATACATAAGTATGCAAAGCGTTTACTAAATAAAAGTTAAGTTATTAAATATCAAGGCTAAAATGAGACAGTTTTTCAATTACCTAAATGAATAATGATCATGCGATATTACTTAGTTATTAAATATCAAAAATAAGACAGTTTTACAATTACTCTAATGAATAATGATCCCGATTTTACTTAAAAAGTACATAGTATTGATTATTATCCAATGCAGTTTGCCAAGTTACTGCTTACGATCATACACAGGGCAAGTAGCATAGCGACCGGCTGAGCTTCTGCAGACTTTTTCGCTGCACGGGCTCGTGGTTGATCAGTAGTCGCAGTTGAGCATAGCGACTGGCTCTCACATAGCGAGTGGATGCTGCAACGTCCTGTGATCATGGTTGTTTGCACGTACGTGGGTAATTTACAACGCCACTTAAATCCAGTTGGTGACAAATAATCCTCTTCTGAGATAACTTCGCTGAAAGAGCAAAATCGGAAACCTGCTGGGATGACAATGTAACTTCGGCTGCTGACTGAATACGTTTTCACAACTGTGCGTTCTTTAGAATGAGACACTCCAAACGAAGCTGCAAGATTCCGTACCATCACTGCAACCTCCGTCTTCACTTCCACAGCATCGCGCACGGTATCGCTTGAGAAACGGTCAGTATGTACCTCAAACACACAGGTATGATTATGACTGACGAGACCAGGACACGAGGAAGAGAAGGCTTCGACGACACAATGTAAATTTGCACGTTTAGGACCGTCGAAACTGTCACACCAAAATGCCTCTATATATAAAACGTCAAAGCCATAGGTGACGCGAAGTTGGTTTGCGTTCTCTGTTGAATTCCAAGAAAAGGTCCCAAGCTTTTCGTCGCAAATATAAGTGGCGTGTGTTGACGGGTTTTCGAGTTGTATTCGCTCGTGACGGCTACCAAAAGGAACAGGACGACCATCAACCTCGATATACGGGTTTTCTGAACTGTTTGGCTTGATTCCGAAGCATATACTTTTAATTTCAAGTGATGAGGTACCCAGAGATTTACATCCAGAAGTTTCTGAAAAGAAACTAAGCAAAATCGTAAAAAAAGATACGTAAGAATGCAGACACATCTTTGCGCTCTGTTGTAGACACTGAGCAAAAAGGGAGTGGTGTATCACAGGCAAAACCAAAGCAAATATAGATGACGGTATATCCAATCATATATTCAAGCGATATATCCAATGACGGATGTTAAAACAGTCACATGATAATATACATATACATTGGAAATTAGGAGAAAATATAGCCTGCGAACAGGCTATTTGAATTGAATTAGAACCTGCCGGTTTAGTCAATAAAGATACGTCTGTGCCCATCACTATTTATAGTGTTGTCAATCAAATAACAAATTGATACAGACACACGTTATGTAACAGCCTGCGAATATATGCATGTAAACAAAACCATAGTTAATAGAGGAGAGGGTTTGGAAGCTGGGGGCGTGGCCAAATTATGTTATTGTTCTCTGTCACGTGACAATACGGGTGCATCAAAATCT